ACATATTTTAGATGTCTCACCCTATATATACATAGAGTATACATATACACACTGGGTCCCAAAATTTGCGCACTCAGAGTACAGAACATGATACTACATGCTACAACAATTTTTTCCTTTAACAAAATTGCGTATGATAAATAATTTTTGTGTTTCTCTTATAACTTATGAATCTGTTGTCTTATAAAAAACTACTTATCACATGTAATTTGTTGAAGGAAAAAATTATTTTAGCGCAAAGTATCATGTTATGTATTCCAAATACGCGAATTTTGGGACACCCTGTATATACATATATATATATATATATATATATATACACACGCACACACATACACACACGAAGGCCAAATTTAAAATTATTAATTTTTATTAGCCCTTTATCAAAAAGTATTCCTTGCAAATTATTGTTCTATTTATTCATCAAATATGTTTCTTTACAATCTCTATAATCTGATTCTAATCGATCAAACACTTTCGCTACGTCGTCGTAGGAACGTAAGGAACGATGAGTGCAACGTAACTGACGTGAATCGTAAATATGAAATATGATTTGATGAGAGAACAAGATACGAATGGTATCGAATGTCGACTTGAATAATAGAATTATATAGAGAAGAAAAGATACGTGAGAATGTCGTTTGACGAGATATTAATGCACTACTTGCTTAAGGTTACGTTTTACGAATATATATAGAATATGTACCACTATAAGCGGGCAACTCACCTACCGATTGCTTGATGAAATACAAGTAACTGCGTTTTGCAACAATATAACGGATGGCAAAATCGCAGAAAAGAGCCAGTAAAGCGACAAGAATTTAACGATACAATAAACCCATCAAGAACCACGTACATACATAAATCACAAACAGACTGAACCAGTTTCAGTGTTACCATGACACTCTAAAAATTTAATCACCAGATTTCTATTCCCTTTCACCAAAATTCACTAGAGTAACGATCAGAACTAGAAGTTTGTTCGCGTTGTTGAAATCCACCTTTACAAAAAATTTTTGCACTTTAAAACGAGATAAGAATAATTAAGGACATTGTGAAAAGAGAGAGAACGAAATGCTAAGTGCAAAAAGTACAAGCAACGCGAACAAACCTCGTGTAACTTTTTCTTTTAGCCCTGTGTCTACACTTCTACAGTGCTAGAACACGACTCGTATTGGCGATCCTGGAATGTGTAGCCAATTGCTGTGTTTCAGAGAATTTAGAAATAAAGAACAAACCTATATAATCATTGATTAATCGGAGTTGATGTGAAACCCGAATATACTCAGGGTTTGGTAAAAGGGTCCTTAGTACTATTGAACGTCATTTCTTAATATTTTTTAGTTTCTTTTGTTGTCATTTTTTTATCGTTGTTGAAAGTGACAAAAATACTGTCTTATTATGTCAGAGGAAAAGTGTACAATGATACACATGCCGCATCATGCGCAGCAAAAATTATGTCAAAGTAGACCACTTTATAGACAAGGAAGAAAATTGACAGCAGTCAAGGTAGTATTGAAGACTTGTATCCTACAATAAAGTCTAATTTTTATTTTACTTATCTTTAATCAGAATTAATTTGTCGTTTTACATAGATTAAAGAAATATATATTTTTTTTACATTTAGGGGTAACCAAATCTGTTTTCAACAGACTTGGCAAAATATCTTCTATAAATCTTATTAGTTTGGATCATCATAGTACTATTTACTATAACAGAATATACATGGCTTAGACATTTTGTATCCTATATCTTTGCTTTCTTTTTTTTGATTCCCAAATATGTGTCTATTTCATTTTAAGTTTTCATTCTAATTTTTCACTCAAAACTTTTTGAAATTTCAAGCAATGCAAACAGACCTATTGATTGAAAAAAAATTTTGTTTCAATGATTTAATTACGACTACAAAATAATTGATAATACCTAGTTTTTGCTAGCAACCTACTGTCAAATTGTGTCGGTAGACTTTACTGCTAAAACATAAACTTGATGCAGATATAGTTGATATAATCTGCTACCAATATTCTACTTAAATTTATTATAATTGATAGCATATTGTGTATTAACATTTTGAGATATTTATCTACAACTGCAATTAAAACAATAATTGTTTCTATCATGAACTATTTTATTTTTAAGGAAATATATGTACATCCAATGTTGTCTCATTATTAGCATTTCGTATTTGATTTATCTTCAATTGTGTTACAATATGTCTTTATTATCAACAATGAGTGTTTTTCAACAAGAAATACAGATGGCAACAACATAGTAAATCATTACTTTGTTGTTTAATATTGACAAGTAATAAGGATGAAATGATTCATTATGTAATACTAATAATTCTTGTTGTAAAATATCTATTTATGTCAAAAGAAAGCACACAATAACTATTTCCAATAATTAATCTTCGAAATTAACAGTTAATCAAAATGTATTGATGTTATATTTAATTTGTACATTTTATAACGATTGCTTTAAATGTAAAAAAAAAGTGTTTTAATTCGATTATGTTTTAAATTATATTTTTTATATCTTATATCAATTTGAAGAACCACATATAATAGAAAACGATCACTCGCATATTTCCTTGACAAATTAGTTCTGTGTAATAGGTTTACACAGTTAATGATGAATCACAGCATTTGTTAATATGTGGAGTACCACAACTGCAATTAGTAGAAGAGGTGAAAAAACTCGTTTATCCCTATGGAAATTTGAAAGAAGTTCAGTTGGTAACTGAATATCCTTCAGAAAAATTTACAGAGACATACCATGTACATTACACACATATTCAGAGTGCGAGGTATATATTTATTGTTTTGTTCTAAAAAGATGGCATTTATTATATACAAGAATCTATGAATAAATTAATCTAAGAATAAAATCTAATATTTATTTAAATCACATTTCTTGCAGAATAGCAAAGCGTTTAATAGATAATAAAAATTTCTTCGGTGGATGTCTACACGTTTGTTATGCTCCTGAATTAGAAACTCTAGAGGAGACAAAAGCAAAACTTATACAACGCCGTAAGGATGTAGCGACGCAGATAAAAAGAACTCAACAGGAGTTGATAAATCCGAAAGTAGACAAATTTATTCCAAGGTATGTTTAAATATTGTTATTTTTAATTCTCCGTTGGCAATGTAGTTTTCACCTTTCATCCGTAGCTTTTGGGTTTTCAAATTTCAATGCATATTTCTATAATATTGCGGATTGTATACAAATTTGAAAAAACTTACATATTTATAAAAACTAACGAATTCTTATTACAATATTATAAAAAATTAGAATTACAATAAAAAATCAACTTTTTCTCTAAAGTCTAACATTGCTGGAGGAAGATAAATGTTACATATGAATTTAAATACTTCATATAAACAAGATATGTTAAAGACTATCCAGAAAGTCATACATGTTAATGGATTTTGGCAAGTGTCTACTGAAAATTTTATTAACAGAATGTTAGCAGAAATGTAACAGACAAACTCTGCTAACGGAATATGATAGCAGATTGTAGTTTCTGCAAATTAAACAGAATCTGCGTTTTGTAATTATTTAAACAGTATATTTTATTTAAACGATTACAAGATAAAAATTCCTGTTGAAAATGTGCAAATCTATTGTAATCATCTTAATGCTTACTCAATGCTTATTAATACAAAATTGATGCCAGCAATGTTGTACTCAAGTTTAATATATTGTTAACATTTTTTTTTTAACTCACTGAGTCGTAATATATTTATCTATCTAATATTATCTAAGATTGTGTCTAATATGTAACTACCCAAATAATAAAATGTTTCTATACCAAGAAACGTTTTGTTATGTTGGTAGTTACATATTAGAAACATAATCTTAATGTTAAACAGGTAGATATATTAAATATTTACTTGCAGAGAACAATATCATAGAAAAAAGAGAACTCCTGCTTTGCCCCTCACCGAAGAACGGATTAAACATTTCTATCCTGGAGAAACGTTGTCTTCTATTTGTAATGATTCTATAATTCCAAACACAGATCTACGACCTGTGTCCGAATCTTGCTTACCAATAAATTGGAAAAATAACTGTAATAGCGGCATCGTATCTAGTTCAGAATCTTATTCGGTACCATATCAATTAACCGAGGCAATGATGCAAACAGGGAGCCAACAAGCTAATAAAAATCTAGATTCGAATGTACAAAAAAAGAAAAATTACAGAATACGTTGTATTGATAAAATTAAAGTTGTTCGACCACGATTGATAGATACTAGAAATATTGCGCGATCAAATTTCACCGAGAAAACGAATGTATTCTGTAATGCAAAGAAAGTAGAAAATAAAATCACAATCAAGTTATTGGAAAAGTCTAATAATGAAAAAAAGAAGATAGTTATAAAAAATCCAAGGTATGTATGCATGTACAGGAAAGTTTCAAAATAGCTTGCAGCTTCGAAATATAGCAGGGGCTCTATTCTTGAAAAGAAACGTATACGAAAGTCTAGGGAAATACTATAATATTCGTTACGTATACTATAGTATTTTCCTAATTTTTCGTATACGTTTCTTTTCAAGAATAGACTCCCTGGGTTATTACGAAATTAGAAATCAGGAAATTGTCAGGAAAATTGAAAATAGAGAGATCAGAGAAATCATTTTACAAAATTTTCGGCTTTAAAGAATTTTAATATAAAGAATGTCTCCCATTTTAAATAAATCATTAAGATTTCTCGAAAATTTTTTGAGATATCTTATATATTGCAAACTTGTTAATTTATAATATTTTAATACATAATTCTAATTTGCTTCAAATGTATTTTTCAGTGTAATATCTTTGATACAATCCAGCAAAGATCTTCAATCTTCGATTCAAGCGGTAAAAACTCAAATTCGTACAATAATGCAAAAACATGATAAATAAATATTGATATTATGAAATGTTTATTTGGGTAATTTATTTTACAATTTATTTATTCAAAATGAGTATATTAAACGTCATTTTACTAGTTAATGACAAGTTCACTTATTATAATACCATTTCTATTCTAGTCCTAAGCATAAAATAAATCAGCTAATCTAAATACTTTAATTAAATAAGGACCGTGGAATTCGGATCCCATTGAGTTCCATTTCTAGTCTTTCTATTATACGTCTTAGATGGTGGCGTATTCTCTTGTGCTTCGATAGATGTAGTCATGCTTTTCAATAATTGTTGCGGTTTTTTTTTTATTTGGTTATTATTAGATCGATTGCCAAGAGGTGTACGATTCTAAAAAAATATGAATTATTTGCAAATATATAATTTTGTATATGTGTAAATAGTATATACTATAATATCGTATAAATTACCTCATAAGTTTCAATTTCCTGTTTGTTCTCAGGAGTAAAAACCTTTTCTTCATTAACATCTATTTTAGTATTCTTTTTTTTTCCTTTTGTGTCTCCCTTCTTCCGAAAATCTGTCTTCGTTGGCTTTAAAGAAGTACTAATCGTGGTATATTTATCAAACGTTATAATTACATCGTCTCTTGAAACTTTTTTTGGCAATAATTCTTTCTCATCCTTCTTACCCGATATACTTTTCTCTGGAGACAATGAATCATGCCACAATTTAATTTTATCATCATTTCTTATCTTTGTACTAGATTTAATATTTTCACAATCCTGTTTTTCTGTCTCGTCTTTGTCTTCTTCATTATAAAGAGTAGCTATCTGTTCGTCCGAGATTAACGATATCTCTTCACTCATATATTTCGGGTTCTTAATAACTGTAATTTCCTTTTCACTTTTGGAGATACTTAAATTAGAATTGTACACAGATGTGCCATGTACTCCATCCTGTTTCTCTGTATCTAATACTTTCAGACTTTCCAAAGCTGTATCAGATAATCGTGTTTCCAGGATATTAATCGCTGTATCGATCTTCTGACGAGAATTTTTCGGATTGTAAACATCCGTTTCATAACTGCCTCTACGACTCAAATTTTCTTGTGATCGTGCCTTTATCAACGCGAGAGATTTTGGCATTAAAATAGGAGTTCTGTCAAAATCTGCAGCTGGAGATCTAGGATCTAATCCTAAAATTATAAAGCGTTCCTTATCTATTGGTGTAATTACTTTTGAACTCCTTGTAATATTAACGTTTGTTGTCGAATTCTGTACCTCAAACTGTAAAAATACATATTATAAATAATTTTTATTTTTTTAAATGTACAAATAAAGTAGAATGTTAAACATGTTTTATATTTGTATAAGATATGTATAAAATCCTTATTTTGCTTATTAAATAATATTATATTATAGAAAGATTAGATTGACTCTGAAAATCCAACCAAGTAGTGCTTAAGAGTACTTTTTAAAAGTAGAATTATAAAAAAAATTGTATTAAAGAAAATCTATATAACTTACAATTATATATATGCACAAAATCTTAAATAATTTTTTTAATCTTTAAATAATAATCTTATTGTATCTTTAAATAATATATCTATTTTATTAGTTTCGTAAGATATTTGTAATGAATTCAATAATGTGTAAGTGTAATTTTTAAATCATCTTACAAAACTATAATAAAATATATTGTTCTATTTAAAAAGATAAAACAATACAAATAAGAAAAAGGGCACAGAGCCAAATATGTTTAACGTACGTATAATTTAAAAAAACAAAATATATACATATAAAATTTCCAGACGTTTCGACTCCGATCGGATCGATATTTGGCTCTGTGTCCTTTTTCTTATTTGTATTGTTTTATACACGTTGAGCCTTTTCATTACTTATTTTTAAAAAGATAAAATATTTAAAAAAAGAACTTAGAACACTTTGTTTAAGTTATACAAATCTTAATAACATTGTTATTTAAAAAAATATCAGATTATGTACATTTAAATCAAACGTACTGTAAATTCAATTATTTATATATGGAAGAAAAATTTATAAGGGAGTTAAATATTAAATAACATACAGAATCTGACTGTTCATCACTGTCCATTGATTTTAATACAACACGTTTTTTAGGCGTTAGTGGTTGCATCACTACATACATATCTGCTTCAAGATACTGCTTTTTCTGCAAGTATTTAGGCATTGCACTTGGTGGTTTTTTATTTTCCCCAATTGAAGTACATTTAATCTATTAAAATATTAAGATATATTAAATGTCAAAGAGAATATACAAATTAGGAAAATATATAATTCATAAATTTTTTTTCTATATTAAATTAATAGAATTTATACTTCAATAGGGGTTCTTTTAATTCCTGCTGAAACTGAACGTGGATCACCCAGTACTCTTTTTTCAGATAATATTGGTGTGCATATACTATTATCTTCTACAGTTGCTTGCTGTACAACCATTTCAGGTTCATTGCATTCCTTTTGACTTTCATTAGTGTAAAATAATAATTTACTTGCATAATTACCCATGATATTGACGATCAAAACTAATTGTTATAAAAAGCTTCTGCAAATGAAAATCAATTAGCATAAATACAAAATCCCAAGTTAACATATATTTCATAAAGGAGTATAATTTTATTAATGAAGAAACTTGGAGTATTTATGAATGGAATAGACATATATACATATATATATATGATTTAAATAATTGTATTGAAACATAATATGTTCATATTCGTATTAATATGTTGACTTACTGAACATTTGATAACTTTCTATTGAATTATCTTAATTTCAGCAATTTAAATGTATTTTTTAATTATATTAATTATATAAATATATTTTTTAATTTAAAAATGACGTACTAAATTGATGTATACGCATCAAAATAAATAATTAAATACACGTTACGCATATCCCCAAAATTAAGATAATTCAATATAGATAGGTATTAGTTAATACCCCCGCATCAAATGCACAATGCAATTAGACTTAGATTAGCACGTAGAAACAATCTATATCCTCATTCTTCAAAATTAAACTTATTACATTTATTCTATTGTGATAATTATTTTACCTTGATGTGTTATTTATTATTTAATTGAAATAAATAACGTAGGGCAATAATTACTTCAAACAAGCAACAATATTTACGTGTAAATCACAGAATTTTCAGACGTTAAATACACAAATCATGCGTCACCAGACTCAAGCGGACTTTAAATCGTTGTTTACTTTGGTTTACTTTCAAAATCAAAACCGACAAACGTTCGAATAGTACCAATTTGTAGAACCAGAGATCGAAAACTCCCATACTTTTAATAGAATCCCTATAATATAGGGACTTTAATTTTTAACTATTATGGCTTCTGCAGACAGAACGTTGGCACGATATGACCAATCAGCATCATAGTCACCGGCGAGACTTCAACCGGTTGAAATGTCATGTGCAACTTGTCATGTTGCGAAATTATGCAAGATTCACACTACGTACATACGGTACGATATCCAATAGCAGAGCTTGTTTTCTAAATATATTGGGTCTTCTACAATAAGCCATAATGGGCCTCATGGTAACTTTGACCATGATGGGCCTTCTACAATAAGCCATAAGTCATAAATCGGAAGTAAGAAACTAAAAATTGACGACTGTGATTGGTTCATTTCTAGCTTATGACTTATGATTTGTGACTTACGGCTAATGTAGGATTCACACTGCGTCCGACATCCGACGTACGACGACCGATATCCAATAGGAGAGCTTGTTTTCTTGATATATAGCTAACAATATTTTGTAACAAGCTCTGCTATTGGATATCGTACCGTCGTACGTCGGATGTCGTACGCAGTGTGAATCCTACATTATTGAAGGCCCATATAGCTAAATATTTTGTCATACGATGATGCTTGTCGTATACATGGTCGACCATGGTCGTATATATCTAGAAAACAAGATGTCCTATTGGATGTCGCACATTCGTCGGATGTCATACGCAGTGTGAATCCTACATAATCATAAACTAAACATAAACATGACGCTACATATTCTTATAAGTATGGATATGCAATTGTTATTAATAAAAAATTATATTTTTATTAAAATATTTTTAATATTTTAATATAAATTTTAAGAAAATATTTATTTGTTTTGATAACATCCTTTTTATTCACATCAGATTTTTTTTGAAAAAGCATAATTTCCCCAATTTTGTATCATATTTATCATCAAAGAGTTGGTAACACTGACCACAGCTAATATGGCAAGATTCTAATCCAGATTCCAGCTAGCACTTCCTGACTTCAGCAGAAAAACAATAATCGTGTCGCTGATTTTAATCAGCTTTAATTACATAGCTATGTAGGAGTTTACACATCTTTATATTTGTATTTTGTGTGCAATAGTTTTAATATGCGTGAATCTGAGCACAGGATTGCCTTAACACCTTACGATCATATCATTATGATAGATGTAGTTAGAGTATTAGAAAACGTAAGCAACGCACAAGCTTTGGTGTATGACGTTAGAATTGATAGACATCGCTATATCTCTTGATAGCGTGCTACCACGTGCTACATAAGCAAAAGTAAGTAATCTTATCGTTTGTAAGCAAGTCAAAAATAATCTTGTTAACTATCCAGAAGGCCTTAATGTGTTACGGTAATCTTGTGCTCAGATCTTAGTGTGCACTGAGAAGTCTTGAGAGATCACTTGAGTGAGACAGACCTGTTTCGTCTCGTCTCGAGTGTCGCATCATCATTTTTGAAAAGCGTTGCTGGCTTTGATTGTGCCTAGCAAGCTTAGCTAAGTTTACTTCGTCATCGAGGACCCGGATTATTTATATCAGAAGTGTACACTGAGTACATCCAAACAAATTTGCTATTAGTGAGTTTGCTTATTTTTGTAATTTTGATCTCATTTTAATTACACAATTAATAGGAGCAGTGTACTAGGTATGTTAATATCTAATAGAAGTACATGATAATGTATTTTCACTGTTCCTGTATTATTTTGTCACAAAATCTTGTGATCAGAGAGTTAATTGAAATAATAAATATATTTCATTATTTCAAAAAATATCTATATTTGCACTGAATAAATGTGTATTACATTTGAATATATATTGAATTTTATCAAATATCTATTTATTATTCCATATTTATTCAGGCTGAATGTAAGTAATTTTTGAATTGATTAAATATTTATTGATATTGAGAGAGAGAGAGATCGATGTATCTAGATTTAGATATCTGAATCTGAGGTTGCTATTGAAGCCTGTTTGTCATTAAATAATTTTTTTATAAATGAATATTTTACCAAAAACTTTTTGAGTTATATGTTTGCCATATTGTATCGGTTATTTTAGATTTTATAATTTTAACTTCTAATTTATAATCATTGACCTAAAAATTTTTGAGTACAAAGTTGAAAAACATGGGTCTGATATAAAAATTTATCACGAAGAATTAAAGAATTTTACAACAGTTGCAAAGTTTTCTTTTCTCTATTACAAATACATTCACTTGAATATATGTTGAATGAAGTCAATATATATCCAAGTAAATGCTTTATTATGATACTTTACATCTTTCTAGAAAACGCTTAGTTATTGTACAGAGAAATATTAAACGAATTTCATTTGTTATTAACAGTAGAATTACAAGAGGTGTGTGCCACAACATGTTGAAAACATTTAAGTGTCTCCAATGCGATTCAACCTTTGATCGTGCTTCACAATTGGATTATCATCATCGGAGTTTACATCTAGGAGAAAGATCCCAAATATGCCAGATATGTGGAAAGGGTTTCTTTCGCAAAGCAGACCTGCGCACTCATTTGAACATTCATTTAGGAACAAATTTTTATATTTGTGAGATCTGTGGGAGGAAGTTTAGTCATATATCGAATCTTATAAGACACTGTAGAATGCATACAGGTAAGATATAATATAACAAATATAGTTAAATGTAAGTAAAGATAATTGTTCACTTTAGTTTTTCATTTTTAATCATGACATTAAGACTGTACTTAAGATAGTATTAAATAATAAGTATTAAAATAAGAGTATTAAATAATAAAAATTGACTATATATGAATATCAGCTTGAGTATTTCTTTATTTATTTCATATGCAGGAATTAAACCGTATTCATGTTCAATTTGTGATAAGAATTTCACACAAATGTCTTCATTAGCAAGGCACAAACAAATGATACATGGGATATCAAAGGAAGTTATGCAGCAGTATTATAATCCTAGTATTAGCGATAAATCACAAATCAACAGTCATGGATTGAAAAAAAACAAGGTATTAAATCATTATTAAGTACATTGATTAAATTTTCAAATTTTTTTTGAAAGGAAATTTTGGTCGTATTTTTTGACTGTATTTCTTCAAAAGTAATTTTTTTTCAAACGTGGAAAATATTCCGAGAGCATTAATTGAGTTGTTAGTGTAGTTACAAGAAATAATTATTAAATTTATGTGTATTTAAAAAATTGTGTAATATTACAAAACTTTTCCATTAAATAATCCAATGTTTATATATTATAATTATGTATTATTATTATGGATTTTTCAGACAATAGATAATAACATGAAAAATAGAATTCTTGAAACATCTTGTATAGAGCCAAAATATATTAACCAGAGTACTACTACAGACTCAGATGTAAAAAATGAGGTGATTTCCGATCAACGCGATATTGATGTGGATAGCAAAGCGTGTTTATTCGAGACTATTATTTATGTCACGTCTAAGCAGGTAAATACCTGATTTTTTAGATTTAGTTATTATAACATAAATATAAATGTCTAACATAAAGTGTATGAAAAGTTTGGTGAAAGTAATTTAGCAGAAAATGAGAGTACAAGTATATTGCCGCAAGATCATTATGTCAAAGTTGAGGAAAGACTTGGATCTACTAATTTATCAATAAATAATACTATTTCAAATTCTTCTCAAGATATAGTCAATAATCATGAACAAATCCCATTTAAAGACAGTATAACTTATTTACATCAATTAGATAAGAATAATTCCACCGTCCTATCTCAAGATAGAGAATTTAATGCTGAATCAAAAGTTCAAAATAATGAATACATTGTGAAATCAAGCAATTCACATATATGTATATCTCGAGGAACTTGTAAAGAATCTTCCCTAAGCAACGTCAAAAAATCGTTAAATATGGAAACAAATTTTCCTATTTATAATTCCAATGAAGTTTTAATGGACCAAAAAGTTCTGCGTAAACAAATAAGCAAAGGGGTTATTAGTGAAAATAAAAAATGTAATAAATCATTAAGTGATAATGACAATCAGTTGTATATAGAGCTCTCTAATTCAGGAATGTTAAAACTTGATGAACCTCGGCACTGTAATAATAATATTAGCTTAACCGGTCTGAAGTCTTGTCATTCTGAAAATAATACTGCTAATGAAATAATATATACTTCCAAATCTGCTATACAGAATGCAGAGGAAAATTTAGAAAATTTTAGTAATGCCAATAACACAGTGTTAAATAACGAAGAACCAATGTTGCATTTAGTACAAACAGAGACTGGTGAGCAATTTTATGAATTCATAATAAGCAGTTTAGTAGAAAAAATGCAGGACACTCCGTGCACAAAGGATGTGGAAGATACAATAGAATGTCCACCAAATATTTTTAGAGATAGTCAAAAAGTCCATTCGAATCTAAAAGGAAGTGAGAAGGTCGATCAAATAGAGCATCAACAAGCTCTGGATGATCTTGTTGATATAAATAACGAATTTAATTATACACAATTTGATTTTTATAGAGAGGAAAAAAATTATGCTATCTTAAGCCATGATGTATCTGAACATTTCAAACAAAATGTAAAAGAAAATGAATGTGTAAGTAATACGCAAAAGAAAAATCAGATCTACAATTTTGGAAACATGGAATTATTGGAAAACGAAACACATGTTGATTTTGATAAATACGTCGAAATTAATCTTGAAGCGTTTGAAAGACTGAATTATGAAAATTGTAATGAAAAATTTTTAGAATTTGTGGAGGTTGCCGATATTGGCACAGAATCCTCAGGATACAAGGAACTTTCGATGGTACGTTTGATTCAAAATGATGGTGAACAGCTGTTGGAACTATTGCAAGATTCTCAGGCTGAACAGGAAGTAAATCAAGATTTCATACAAGCTAATAACTTCAAAGACTGTTCAAACATTTTGCAAAATAATAGTAAAAGAGCTGATTGTTCTAAAAATAAATCAAACTTATTCACATGTGTCGAGGATAATGTACTAGTAGAGGAAAATATGAATAGTAACAAAGACATAAAGAATATTAAAGAATATATAGACAATAGCAACCATACGCCTACAGACGTAACGACTACTAAAAGTGCAAGTAGTAAAAATATTAGAGCATCAGAAGAATCGAAAAAATCAAAAATAATTTCAAGAAAGTTCCAATGCTTAGTATGCAAGAAGGCATTTTCAACAACATACAATTATAAACAACATATTGGAATACATTTTACCGATCAACAAAAGTTTCATTGTAAAAATTGTGGAGTGTCCTTCGCTTGGAAATCTACTTTGAACAAACATATTGCAAACAATCATACTTCAGATTCACAAAAGTTTGTCTGCGAGATTTGTCCGAAAGTCTACAGCACCTTGTCACAAGTAAACGTAAGTCTATCAGTTTATAAAGTAACATTAGTCTTATATTACTACAAGAGATAATGATCTTGAAATTTTGGAAATACTTCTATCTGAAACAAATTATACTAATTCTAAAATATCTTCTTCGAAAACTAAACAAGTTTTACTTTACTAAATTTTTTATTTATAGTTTTTCAACACATTAACATCTTTCTAATAGGATGCCTGATTGAGCATCAAATTATTAAATTGCTAGTCAATTGTGATATTACTACAGTATTTTAATCGGATTGTGTTTCAAGACCGAAAATAATTTCGGCGCGGAGTTTAAGAAAAACTACATATATGTAGTATATAAATTGACATAAAAAAAATTATTTCAACACTAAAGCTTTAGCTTGACCATGAGGTCCTTATTTCCTAATTGTTGTATAATCAAAGTCTTATAAGAAACTTTGTATTAAACATTTCTTATTTGAAATTTTTATTTAAATACATTGTTCTTGTATACATAATTTTTAAGCTTGACATAAGATGGATCGCTCCTGTATGTATATATTATAAATATGACATGTATCTTGTATAGGATCATGTAAAAAGGGACCATTTAAAGCAGCGAAATCATGTTTGTCTGCATTGCGGCAAGTCTTTCTTTAAAAAATACGACCTGAAGACTCACAGTAGAACGCATACGAACGAACGTCCGTATGTATGTCGTGTTTGCGGTAAAAGGTTTCATCATCAGAGCCACATTATTCGACACGAGCGTACGCATTCAGGCGAGCGACCATATGTTTGCGACATTTGTCAAAGAACTTTTACACAGCCCAGCTCGCTCAAAGCACATAAGCAGAAGCATCAGCAAATTCGGATGGATTTTTTAGATTATCAAATCGATGAGGATGATCCTATTACATTAACGACACTATGAGACATACATCTACGAAATAAATGTAAAAGGCGATATATATTTCGTTTGGAGTGAAAAGAAGGCAATGGATATACAGGATGATCCAAAAACTCAGATGTCTTTGACGGATTCCTTAATTGTAAGATTTTTTAAATTTTGTCTGAAACTTAGCTTTTTGAAATTATAAAAAGAAATATTTAGCATATCACTTTTCATAGAAAAGACCAACGGGGGGGCATCTCACAATCGAACACAGGCTCACACAAGGGAAGCATAATAATTGGACGCATTCACACGTTTATAAGAAAATAGAAATACGTTTGTTCCCATCTTTTCCCTTTATAACACTATTTATTTCTCTGTCTTTCAGAGAAATAATTTTAATATGTTAATATTAATATTCAATAATTCAATTTTTTTTACCTTAAAAAAGACAGAATAATCAATTAACTGCGTAATTATAAAAATATGTCCAAGTTTAAGTTATAAACGATAATAAAAACAAATATTTCGGCTTAGCTTTGAGTCATCTTCATCGTTGACAATTACAATAACTAATCGTTTTCTTCTCCACCACACATAAAAAGAATCCATTACAAATGATTGGTAGGCCGAGTGATTTTCTTTGACTTCAGTGCATTAGATAAGAACTATAATAAAATATTTTTTAATTAAATACTTTCAAAAGATTGTTTCTTTTAATTTCATTTTTCCAAAAATAGAATTATAGAAACACTTTATTGATCTTGATCTTGACAAATGTTATCAAGGTCATGACTTTGAACAATATTCAAGATATTGTAACCGTTGATCGGGTATCTTGGATAATGCTAATGCTGGCAGTACTTTATAACTTTCAAGCCGAATAACTTAAAAAGTACTTAATAAAAAATAATTTATTATATATTTTGAATAACTCTCAAGGTACCTATGAGAATATGTAATAAAAATTGGGAGTCTCATTCGAAACATTCGTCATTCAAACAATTTTATAAATATTTAAAATGTCCGATTAGATAAATTTAATTTCTGTCCACAGGATTATCAAGATTTTGTCAATTTTCAATACTTATATGCTTCTATTTAATGGATAACTAGACATATTATTATTGGATTGGAAGCCACTGTGAATTTTATGAACTTGAATTATGAAGAAACATACAATAATTGTCGATATAATTTTATTTTATAAATCATTTTGTAATTTATAACCAAGTGTCACTATTACTAATCTTAAATGTAAAAATATAGTAAGCAATTAATAAAATTTTTGAAATAATTTATAATAATTTATTTTGCACGTTTACTTATATTTTTTTATGTCGTATTTTATGAAATATTTCATATTGTGAGATTTGTGCCAAGACAATGTGATATTAATCTATTACTTCATAAGTGTTTTAGTTAAAAGTAGATTTATTACTTAACCCGAATCTACAATAGAGAGAGAGAAATTTTATGGCTCCGGCACACTGGACGCGGAAACGCTTGCCGCGCGGTAAAATGTAACGCGGTAGCCAATGAGCTTACAGCTCCTGACAGCTCCTAACATGTTCATTGGCTACCGTGTCACATTTTGCTGCGCGGCAAGCGTTTCCGCGTCCAGTGTGCTGGAGCCATTACAACTGTTTTATGATTTTTTGCTGAAATAGGACTATTCCTTTAGATCTAAAAGTATAATCCAATCAGCGAGACGAATCATAAAACTGTTACAAATCTGTTGAGTCTGCTGACGCAGCCATTATGTTTCCGGCTTTATTTACACCGGTTAACCTAATTTTAAAATACACGAAGTAAGTAGTGTAAATCAATTGTAGAAAATTACATTCTCTAAAATCGTCAGATTTCATCGTATTTAGTAAAAAGGATATATGTTTTCTTGAAATAGTTATTGACTCAGGGTTTAAGAAAATGGATCGTTCAAACATAACGAGTCCGTTGGGAAAAACTGTAGCCTCGCCTAGGAAACGATTGTCAATCATTCAATCGCTAAAGAAAAATGGCTCGTAAGTTTCTTGGCATATAATATTACAATAATTCATTGCATAAGGAATGCTCCTTTGTGTCACATAAAATAAACGAGACACTACCATGTCTCCAAATTATTAAGACAACAAACACTTGTATAGAGAGTAATTGTACAGTTTAACATCTCTCAGCTCAAAAATCAATAAAATTAGGCTTTTCGATGCGTTTTTGCATGAAAGAATCTAGTAGAAAGAAAGCAATCTGCGAACCGAGATATCAATTGTTGAATTTAATTACTATTCAGGTTAGGAAATCTGTGACATCGTTAGCATAGAGTGACATGAAAATGACTATACAAATCAATATACTTTACAATATCTTTGTTAAAAATAAATGAAATTTAAGTTAAAAAAAAAGATTTTAAAGCTTGAAATCTCTACTTTTTGAAGATTGTTACATTTTTTAAGTTTCTGTGAACTTGGTAATTTTTTACATATAAAAAAACTACATAACTGTAAAAGATGAATAATTTTTTTTTCACTTTGGATCTTTTATGTGCCCAAAAAAAATAACGAAAATTTTCGACTCTATTGTGAAAACTTGAAGCTTTCCCTACAAAATCTTTTTTTTTTTTAAATGTTCTTATGATTTTTTTATTTCTGAGTTATTCATGAGTTAAGTAAAGGAGCATTTTGATTTTGATTACTCATAACTCTGTTAAAAATTATCATAATTAAAAAAAAGAACAGATTCTTAAAGCTGAAACTTTGCTTTATATGGTATAATGATATAATTGTAACAAAAATTTTGCAACAAATGGTAGATTGGGAAAGGTTTCTTTTGTAAATAGACTTCCCTCAATATTTTAATGCTCAATGAATTGAAAACGATAAAAATAGATTTGTATGGTCATTGCCAAATCTAAAATTCTGATTTTTTTTTTTGGATATTGGGGGATTATAACATAATTTATTATATTATCTTTTATATTTTTAGTAACAACATTATAATATAGAATTTTATTTTATCTTTAGCACAACTAGTGCAGCTGGACGTACAAATCAATCTATACAAGTAATATGCAGGACACAGAGCCATATAGTGGAAAACTTTGGTTCTCCATTGCCAGTCCTGGTTACAGAGGCATTGACATTTGTAGATCGAAATACAGCTGTTAGTGTTAATATATCTGAGAATGGTTGGGCCTGGCTTGTCTATGGACGTAAATTACTTGTGTGGCAATGTAAAGCTAATATTCATGACTCCAAGCAGAGGAGAACTTTTAAAACTCAATGTCGTGAATTGTTGCTGCCTCAGAGTGATCTAGCTCATAGAGCAAATTGTATAGCAGTCTGGGTACTGCCTGGTCACCAGGTAATGAATAATTCAATTACTATAATTTTATTTATAATATATTCATGTATTAATATAGGTAGCAAATTGTTTTGGTGTATTACATTAATTTTTGTGTGTAAGTGAATGTGTACATGCATCATGTGTATATGTATGTAGAATTTATATTGTTTATAGGTTCCTAGTTGCATGGCGGTCTCACCAGAAGGAGTGGTACGTTTCTGGACAAGTGTGGCACACGAAGGATCTTCTGTAGAGACTAGTGCTGAGCTTGCAGGACAAGAAGTAGATTGTCTTATACATGTTCCAGGCCATGGGTGCATTCTAGCCACAACTACATGTACGGTGGCACTCTTACAACCACAGTTTAATAATGGAAAGAACAATATTACATGCCAAGTGCTTCGAACAAGTCAAGGATGGCTCGGTGGTATAGGTCGCAAAATGACCTCCCTTATTTTTGGAGCGATACCGCAATCGCCTGTTACAGAAACTAAATTAGTAAAAGTTACGTGCACATTACTGAACGAAAGAGGATCAAGAGTTCTCATTCTTGCTGGATCTTCTCTGCAATATTGGTTCTTTTCTCATAATGAGCAGGAGAAAATGGAATTTGATGAAGATATCACTGATATCGTTCAGCAGGCATTCCAAAGAAAAATTTGGGAATCGAGCCCTCAAAACATGAGCACATGGTTCGTTGATATGCAAACGTGTGAAGAAGGAATAGTCCTTTTAATGGCAGCCTATTGCGCTGATATTTCCATACAAATTCATTTTGCACTCGGACTATTACCTTTAGTTGGCACAACACTATCAAACTCATTTAAATGGTTCATACCTGTGAAAATCGATCCGATATTTTATCACAACGATATAGAGTCTTGGCTAGCTTCTTACCATTTCATATTGTGCGGTTGGGAGGCGATTATATACAGTCGGGATAATGTACTCGTGGTTAACACCGCATCTGAGGTCGAACAAGATAAGATCGATCTGGTGAGAGGCAGTGAGGACGGTATACTTGGAGGTGCTATATGCTCATCGACTCCGGTATTGTTTACAAAAAGTATCGGTCTCGTGTCTGTTGTACCGGTGGACTTTGCAGTACAAGATTTCAACACCGGATATACGGACACTACCATGAGTATGGACTACACCTATAAAGTGAATCAAACGGTCCAAAACTTTTCCACTCTTATAAGTAACGATGAGTTGCAGGATATGTACTGTAGTTCTGATACGGTCACGCAATTACGTGCTGCCTTTCTCCTCAGCCTTCGACAAAATAAGGCACAAAGTAATGAGATTCTTTCTCAACTGTTCCCTCTGCAGGAAGATCCGGTAATGGATATCAATGCTACCCTCGACACGCTCGTTTTAAAGGTCGCGAAGGATCTAATTGACGATTATCCGGCCAATGATCCGAGATGGTCCCAACATAGAGATCTATCGATAACGATGAACGCGGTCACTTCTATGCAAATACCACATCAGCTGGAGGGTAAACAAAAAGCACTAGATCTCTTTATAATGTTCTTAAAAGAGCATAACTTGTGGAACAGGTTCTGTGCGGTTACATGCAGGGGTACTATTATGTCCACGTCTCACGTGCTCGGTGAATACGCAGAGAAAATAGTTGCGGCATTGACATTGTACAGTCTGCAAAATAGATATGCGGAGATCATAGACGCAATTGTGAACCAAACGTTGAGTCAGAAAGAAGCACATGTTTCTGATGAACTTACTGTTTGCGATATATTCTATCGTGAAGTGAGCACAGTGCATCTATTCCTGCCAGTATTGGTAGAGAAAGCGTACGAAGTCACGCAATCCGAAAGACCTTTGCAACAAGTTGGACAATACATCATGCAGGTCAATACCATTTTATTGACTGTATTGTATGAGGTGGTAAAGTATCGTCAATACAATGCTGAACGCTTCGTC